TCTCCTACTTACCAAGGTGTGTTAAATCATTTATTGTCGGTTTCCCAGCTACTTTTAACCATTCATTTGCGTTTTTTGTTCGATAACTACTTGAAAAGTTTCTAATGTATCAACATGTAATTAACTTGGAGTGTCTGTTTGTAATACCAAAAGAAAAATTCCAAATTTTTGGAAATTGACGTATTTGCGTTGCTATAACAAAAATCGCATTTAAAATATGTATGTCTGTTCGCAAGCCGCGTTTCTTGCGGGTAATCTCAGAAACAGCTGGGCCGATTTCGACCGGACTTTCACAGAAGGGTAGTTAACATAGACGGGCATGTTATAGGCTACTTTTTTAACTCCGCACTGTCAGAAGGACTCAATGGGTGGTCCGATTTTGATAGGACTTTGACTGTAAGATAGCTGGTAGAAGGTAGATGCACGCGAGAATGTGATAGATGACTTTAGAAAAAAATCCGCGCTAACGAAATTTACGGGCGACAGCTTGTACAAAATATACCCTATCTTGCTCACAGATAAATTACCTATCTATGGGTGAAAGAATTTTTAACATCAGCCCAGTAGTTTTTGCGTGAATCAAATACATACAATAATCCAAAAATACTAATCTTTCCTCTTTATAATATTAGTATAGAATAGTGTATCTAGATGACATAGATGTCATCATATCCTAGTAGGTGGCATCAACCTGGAGTAGCGTATATTAGCCCGAGTCTCCGCGATTCCATCACAGCTGTAGATAACATATTTATTGCAGTAGCTGCAATACAATGTTACATGACAGTGACATCGTGAAAATAGAGGTGAATTGATAAAGTTTAGTCAGAGAAATACAGATGAGTACTACGACTACAAATTCTGTTTACTAAAACATGTCTTAAACGAAATCAATTAATCCTTAATCTATGGGCTCTGGCCGTTTCGCCATTTTGGCGGATTCAGGTGGCCGATTGCTCGTTTGCCATCTTATGTTATAAAAAAAATCTTCAAATGATTTAGATCTTTTCAACTACGATTCAAATTTTATAAATTTGAAATGTTGCGGGAGAGGATGGATAGTAAAGAAAAAGTATATTCATACTTTTGTCTCGTTTTCCTGTCATTAAAAGTACGCAAATAAATGTCGCAGATGACTCTGAATAGCGGTAATTTTGATTGTTTAACATTGCTAGTAATGCTCGATACCGAACTTCTTCCATAAATTACTCACACAAGATATTATCAATGATTCTTGCAGTACGCAATTTTCTAACAATTCATAATAATTAACGTCTAGTCTGATTATTTTACGAAGTTCACAAGTCGGTTGCGTTATCATCTTTGAGACAAACACCACAAATCTACCAACAGACAACAAAGTAAACGATGTGTCAAATGGGTGGACGATCTAACACTTAATGTCAAGGTTACTTGCTTGGGTGATTTTTTTTTTATCTTATGCCTATAATACTTTCGTTAATCATGTTAGAATAAAAGCAAAAAATTTCGTTAGTTCATCATAAAAAACCCGCTAAAACGTACATAATTATTCTACATAAACAATAACATTTTGTCAATAAGTAACGTAACTTAGCGCGTATGCAAAGATATGCTAAATCACTTATGCGTTGTATAGTATTTTTTCTTAGCGTTCGAGACGTACGATAATGTTGCAGTCGTATAAAACATTAATTGCACTATTGAACATGCATCAAATGCCTTATGATGCATGAGTGTTGAGTTTAGTAAACACTAAGGCGGGTCAACGTTCCGGGGTTATCAAAGCTGGGGCGGCGCCAAACGGTCGCCGACGGTGTCGTGCATATCGCGAATCTCACTAAACACGCCTTCACAAGGCTTCAACCTTAAGCTCTACTAAACATTAAACAAAACTTTCAACATCCATTAGGATTAAAATTTGCTTAAAATTTACAACTTCATTAATTCCCAACCATTTACAACTTATAGTTTCCTAGTACTTTGCTAATGCACCCTTAGCTATTATGAACGTAGTACCTTTTAGATTTCACATTTAGGTTTTAAATGAAGATTATAACAGAGTTCTACGCTAAGTATTATAAAATAATATTGCAGTTGCTGAATATGGTGTACATTATTTGTTCAATACATTGGCGAAGGTCTTCGTATGACAATAATTTATATACGAGTAAACTGGCGAAGTCGTAGTAAACACTATTTTGCTAATTTAAAGCATCTTTGTAATAAGTATTTATATAATTGAGGTAGCGAAAAACAAAGGACTCGTTGAACTGAGGAAAGGAAAACCTCTTTTTCAATTACAAAATAAACATTTACAACTTTCTCCAAACTTTTTTTTAATTGTTTACTAAATACACGAAGCCAAGTAATGTTAAGGTTGAATTTCTAACTACATGTTTCCTAGATTATAAAACGAAAGGAACTCCAAGAAACTTAAATAAGCTTACATCCTTTTAAAGAAGTCTCTACCACTGTCGAATGTTAAACATTTTTCTCTAGCTAACTGGATCAACGATATTAATACATGAAGCCTTTACACTCCTTTTTAAGAAAATTATACGAACGAATGACCGTGAAAGTCACAGTTAAAAATAATGTGAAGAAAAGTGTAGTGTTTATTTTTAAGAAAAAAAAAACTTTGCTAGATTATGGACAATTTTGGTGCGACAAAGACTAGTAGAATATATAATTGTACAATTAAATACCATTTGTGTGGGTTTTTTGACGAGAACATGTGTTGCAAAAAGTAGCTTGAGTTAAATTGTTTACAGCTGTTCAATAATACTGAACGGTGGCAATAACATTTGTAAAGATCAACGCCAGTTTTATCGTTATAAATACTTACTGTTGACCTCGTTTTAATCAAGGGTTTGGTTTGTCACCCATCATAGAACCCGAAAAATTCTGATGTCCTAATAACTTTTAAAGAAAGTAAACCCATTATTACTTTCTCTATCTCGCACTCTGTACTTTTCCCGTGTGTTTTTTTTCGTTTTTATTGTCTAGATGGCCAGTAGTTTAAAACGTTCGGCTACTAAAAAGGTCGTATTCAATCTTAATTAAACGGTCAATCAAGCACGTGGAAAAATTAATAGGTATAAGAATCATACTAATGTTACAAATATGAAAGTTTAGATGGATGTATGGATGGATGGATGTTTGTTAGAGTTTGTGGTTTAAAGTGATGAGCGGATCGCAATGAAATTTGGGAAAGATGTAGAAGGTAGTCTGGAAGAACACGTTGGCTACTTAGTTTTGTTTTTTTTAATACCGCAGACGGAGTCGCGGGCGATAGCTAGTTGTATTATAAATCGGTAAACAGTTTTGTTTACACTCGAGGAATAAATGAGAAGATCAGATTATATTACTCCATAATAAGTCGATAAAATAAATTCAATAAGTGACACCGCTTTCAATGAGTCTTCGTTATCAAACGTGAACAAAACACTCTTAGAAAAGTTATAAATAACGTTTCATCTTCTGATGTCACAAAGGGCAAGATAAAACTTATATTTGTCAGCTTGTTATTATTTTTTGACCGGTGTTGATAGATAGGTGTATACTTAAAATAATAAAAAATAACCAGTGGTAGAGCCCGCTTTAACATTTTTGCACTGTAGGACTGGATCGCCCCTAGCAGTACCACGACCATACCGAAGTGAGTGTTTAAGTGGGATAATTCCTCTTTAGGTCTGAAGAGTTTGTATGCCTAAGGCCTAATTTTGGTCACTTTGAATGGGAGGGAAAGTGGATTTGACGGTACAGAAGACGCATAGCAAGAGGTCCTCCTTATGTGAGTCTCCTCCTCCATTAATCAAAGGTATCAAAGTATCTGCAATTGCAGATGTCTACGGGCAGCAGGCGCTTCGCCATTTTGGCGAGTTAAGGTGGCAGGTTGCCCGTTTGCCATCTTATATAAAAAAACACCAGTTTTGCTTAGTCTATTGAACAATTTCATCGAAGCTTACATTTGCATACTAAAATGCTATTCATGTCTTTGAATTAATTAATACCAGATAGGAAAAATCGATAACTGTTTACATCAGGGTTCTGTTCGGAACTCGATTAAATTTTATATTCAGAATTAAATTCTGTAAAGAAAAAAAACATATAGACGAACTGAGAATCTTCTTCTTTTGGGAAGTCAGTCAAAAATCGAGTTTCAATTATAGTTATGTAGGGTTATTTATCTGAAATATTAACTGTTCAAAGCTTGGCGCCGTTTCTTGTTTAGCTACATACAAGTACGTATTAGGTCACTAGGTCGTTGTAAATAAAAGATAACTTTACAAAACATGTTAATCGTATAATTCAATACTAACTGTAGCCCGCGACACCGCATTCAATTGAAAAAAATAGTTGAGTAGTATCTACCGTTTAAACGTTCAGATCCTAGAGTAGCGAGGCCACGCTTAAACTCCAAATTCATATTTTGACGTCTATCAGATTGTAAGCGGCGATTACGAAGCAAAATATTTATGTTCGTTTCAGTATTTGGCAGTAAGATAAAGAATGAATCGAATATTATTAGACTTATTTGAGAGGCAGGTCGAGTTTGTAATTGATTATGATCACTGTCTCTAAGTGGACTTAAATGAAGATTCAACATGTAGCAATGTGCTCATATTGTAGCAGTAATTGCCGTAAGGTCTAAGGTTACAATTCTTTAGAAAGTTACTTTCCCGAAGAACCACAATTATGATACTATCAAAATCCAAGTAACAAAAGATTGATGTAGTTTAATTTAATTTTGTCTGTGTGGTTATCGAAATTCTGCAGCTAATAGGACTTGGTTACTCGAATTCTGCTGTAATTTGACATCTCGTTTAATAGTTACAAGGAAACGAGCGACCGATGGCTTGAATTCGCTCCGATATGTCCTCCTCCTCTGCCAAATACACTTTCCCATTCCATTCTTTCCTTATAAGGGCGGGATGAGGTGGACGATTAAACGATATAACAGTTCAAAAAGATTTGATATTTTTATATATTAAAAGTATTTCTTTACTTAATTTCAGTGAACTGAAGGAGAGCGTGTTTGCGAAGATGGACCTTGTGGATTACTTCAGTTTGGCAGACAATGTGTTGACGGAGATGCCGCGACATGTCTTGAGGCATCTACCACATGTCAAGACCTTTGATCTCTGCAGGAATAAGATTACAAAATTAACCGAAGAAGATTTCAAAGTAAGTTTTATGTAGGAAATGCGGAATCATTAAAGTATTCAGATTTGATTTAATTTACTCAATAATTAACACAAGTAAATACAAACAAACATGCAGTATTGAATTTGCAACATGCAATGTTGACTCATGTAATTTTAAAAACTTACTAAATTTACCGATATTTTGTTGTAAACAGGCTATGCTTTTATATTACAGGATATACAAGAAGTAGAGCATCTTGTTGTAGCTGATAATCAGATCTCAAAGATAGAAAGACATGCGTTGCCCAAAGCTTTGAAACACGTTCACTTAGGCATCAACAAACTTAGTACATTGAATGGAGCATTGAGGGAATTGGAAGATTTGGAATGGATTTTCATCAACGCAAATAACTTGAAGTCTATTGATAATGAACTACCCTTGGTAAGTAAAGAACCACGTACTATAAAGTAAGTTGAACTGAGACATGTAAGATGAGGTATATTAAGGTCGTTGAACGAAGACTAACGAATGAGAATAATGTAAAAAAGACATAGTAACTACTTCAAAATAAAACCATATTAAAAGTAATTGCCCCCTAGACCTAGCCTATGTGATTAGCTAGCAACGCCTCCGTATATTTGGTAGAGTTTGATACAAAGTCCCAACTCTTCTCTTTTGTAAAACCACATCTTTTGTTTAGGTCTATTCATCTTTCTCTTACCGCTTGCAACCTTTCCGATTCTCCATCCTTTATAACATCCTTTTTCTTTAGAGTAACTTGGAAACGCTGTTGTAACACCAAAAGAACTTTCTCGATTACTTCTATTTAGTAAGAAATTTTTTATTAGTTATGTACTTACTTTCTATGAAAAATATAATAATTCTCAATTTCTAGAAATCCAAGAAACTGGTATTGATTCACGCTGCACACAACGAACTACAAAATTTACCGAAAGAAATGAAGTTTATGCCGTCATTGGAGTCTTTATATTTCTACGACAATAACATTAAATATCTCGACCGCGCTTTGCAAAATGCACGGAAACTAGAAAGGGTTGGCTTGTCGTTTAATAAAATTGAATACGTAAGTACTCTATTTTTAGAATTTTTAAATAATACATTTAACTGTTTAACAATAGATATCATATTCAATTTACAGTTGGCGAGCGATGAATTTGCAGAAGCGGAGGTTTTAGCTGATCTAGATATTGCTTACAATCAACTGAAGTCATTAAATGGTTCTCTGCGACCTCTCAAGTCTTTACGTTATTTAAATCTCACGCACAATATGCTGACGGAATTCTCTTTGCTAGAAATTAAAGGACTGAAACGTCTGTCAGTTATCGACTTGTCGCATAATAAAATTGCTCATATTATTGGAAATATGGATGTAAGTTAAATAAGATTGAAAAACTCCTTCGTACTATTCTTGCACGTATTTATATCATGTCGTTTATATTTTCAGAATCTAGTAGATGTTGAAACAATGGTGTTAGAACTACGCCTAGACCACAATCGTATTACCAGTCTGGATGGAGCATTAATAAGCGTGCACGGTCTCCTAAGACTTAATATAAGTAATAATCAAATAACGCACATAACAGCAGACGATCTACTCGGATTGGAAGATTTAAAACTCCTAGATGTATCAAACAACCAAATCACATCTCTTGATGAAACATCAAAGGTTTGTCTAACTAGGGTGTAGTTAATACAATTGTAGCTTGCGAGCTATTGCGAAATTCATTTTTATAAACTAAGTGTCGTGTTATTGAAGCGTAAAATTTTATAAAACATAAATAATTTATGGCGGTGTGTACTATTTTCAGACGTTCTTACCATCGTTGGAGGAATTGTTCGCACACCACAACAATATTACTGGACTAGATAATGGTTTCCATGGGCTACCGTCGCTTTGTATGGCGGACTTTTCCTACAATCAAATTCGTTCGTTAAACTATAACCTTGCCACGAAATCACGATGTACAATTAACGGTATACCCAGCTATCTGAAGATTTTTCTTCAAGGTTAGTCTCATCACTATTGCTATGTTATTAATGCTTAGCGGTGAAATAAAGCAATGTATTGAATTACCTTTTCCTTTTTCGTCGGGGAAATAAAACAAAACAAAATCGTAGCGCAAACTCAATCCAAAGAAGTGTATTTGTTTTTAGAATCTTTATTACGTTATAGTATCCATTTTGCCAAGCGAAATAGTTGTAAACCTAACCATTTTTGTTTATTGCGCATAGCGATTGTTGCCACTATCTTTTTATTTAAATACTATTTTTCGTTTCATGTTAAGTCATTACTAAAATTGAAAATATCAGATTCGATTCTCAGTTTATGTGTGCCAGATAAATTAATAGAAACAATATAGACATAGCGAGAAACCTCTATGTGGTTATTCCATCGACAATTTGCCCTTGTCCCTACGGAGGGTTTGCAGAGGATGTGCTGCTCTTCCACAGATCTATTTTTATATGTTGTGTAGTAATCGCACGAATACCTCGTTACAGAAAACCCAGTAATATGCGACGATCGTTACTACGAGTTATTGTCAGTGCTGGAGAATCTGAACGCGCGCGTCACCGGCGCCGCGGGCTGCCTCACCTCGCAGACGTCGGCGCCGTTATTAATGAGGGCTCTGAATGACATAGTCCCCGAAACACCTGTCATTCTCGTGACGCGTATGGGCGCGGGCGTCAGAGTCCTGCAAGACAGTAGAGAGAACACGGCGCCGCAGCTTGCGTATCGACGCGTCGGTCCACTCATCGGACAAATTCTGCCTGACCGCGAAGGAGGTTTTCCTGTCCTCGTGGAGCCGCCGGTTACCTTGCCGCCTTCTCCTACCGATGTGGTTAAATGGCCGAACCAAAAACCTCTGCGAGAAAATTCCCACCCACTCGCAGACCATCTCAGCCTCCGTGATCTGAATGCAACACACTGAACAACACATCTTCAAGTCAACAGTGTCCTCACGGCGCTCCCTACCGGAGTGCTTAGGAATTATACTGCCACACCTCAAAACGGCAGAACGTTACTATCTGTCTAAATAAATATTCAATAGTTACCAATGGCGGTGTAAATAATATAGGTATATAGTAATTAATATTGACTCTGGCAAAATTTATACATTAAATGCTTTTTGATATTCTAGTAATCGTGTATCTCTAGTTTCATTAATAAAATTAATGATTTACTATACAACCTTTTGGATTTAAAGAATGTGGCTTACTAATCTTTTTAATTAAAAAATCTTTAGCTTAAATATAACTCGGCACTCTTTGATTGTTTAACTCTTGCGCCAATTAATGAAACTGTAGGTACCTAAAATTATTTATGTTACGTAATTTTATCTTAAATTTTAGCTGTTAGAGCTATTTATAATATTGTCCATTAACACAGCATTAGACCATTGATTTTTTTGCTTCCACTGAGAATGTATTTTCCTCCTACTACAAAATATATCACTACTGCCGTTTTTCTGCTGTAACTCTTATTACTTCACTAATTTAATCAAATTAAATAAATGCGAAAACATAATCTCCACTTTTCGAAAATTGACTGTTTGTAATCTCCTTAATTAAATAATTAATGTGCAAATAAGTAATACAATAAATAATACATAATATAAATTATGTTTTTATTATTTCACGACCAGTAAAACTACTTGCAAGAAATATTTTGTAATTTAATTACATTTAGGTTAATTATCGTCAATCATTTTCTGCAATAATAAATAAGTTTAAAATAACAATTTTTTTACTCATACGTTTATTAAATTATAAACACAGAACGACGTTGTGCCTAAGCTTATTTGGACTCAAAAACTAAAAGTTTGTAAGCAAACAAACATCGCTTACACAAAACTGTAAAAAGGACGCCATGTTTATTTTCATAGGGAATATCTTAAAAACGACAATGTAAAAAAAGATGTGCACAGCAATTAAATGTAAGTAAACATTTGGCTTTCTATTATTGATGTACATAAGTGTTTTAAAATTATATAAATGTTCAAGAGCGATAGTCTATATCTCAACATAATAACCTCATTAAATTACAACATAACACTGAAGGACTGTGTCCTACGGAGTACAGAGTATAGTATATATGAACAACTACTACTAAAAAAATATGACACTTAGAAGAAAATTAAGAATATAATGACACATGGTTATTCTTAAAAAGGTTATCTTCTCTAAACTCTAAATAATATAACTATCGAGGAATATGCAAATTGTGTTAAGTATCCAGCTGACCATTAGCAGTACATCCACATCGAGGAATCCGAAGACTAACCAAAGGTTTAGCTTTGGTTGCACCACGATGTTTTCTTTCAAGCTAAGAATCACACATAAATGCACATCAGCTCACTATGTATGTCTTCACTGAGAAGCTTTGTGCCTTCACTGAAGGGTGATAAGGCCGTAGTGAACCACGCTAGTTCTCTGCGGTTTGGTTGAATTTAAACATATCTGTGAATTTCTTCGTAGATATGTGCAGGTTGCATCACACTGCCTTCGCCGTATGATAAACGCCGTCGGATAAACTTTGATCACATGAAATTTGAAAATCGAAAAATATTGGTACATGTCGACATTCGAACCTAGGATCTGCAGATAAGTTGAGTGCTTAACCTCGGAGCCACTGATGCTTATCATTGGTACATTTTTTTAATAAAATGAGTGCATTGCCTACCCCTAATTAACAGAAGAGAGAACGCAAATAAAAAAAAATTCCCGTTCCTATGCGGCTCTTCTAGCGTCAAGTCCACGTCCAATTTCCATCCCTTTCTTATAAGTAAAAAAGCAGGAAGGAAAAGGGGATTTAAGTTGGGCTTCCGGCACCACACTCATCAGATGAAACGCGGAATTGCTCCCACTTCACACCACCTGTCACCACACCTGTCTTCTGTGTGGTCGTGGTAAATCAGCGGGCGAGGCGGCCCATTCGTGCGGATATGTTAAAACTGGCTCCACCACTGTGAAACTCACTGCTTTATATTGGTAAATGAGTGGAATCAAACTAGGACTAGTAGTACTACCACTGCGCCACCGACGCTTAACGTTGAATTAGCTAAATGCAATAATTAATTTCTCGTGTTAACTTAAGAAAATAGTCAATGGATGAATTTGAATTCACTACCTTAAATAATGATTATTGCATTGTGTACCTTAACCCTTCTTCCGATAGTGTCCAGTGTGGTGAAGAACAACCTAATTTTTAAAAAAAACTATTGAACTAAGTAGTTTATTTCATATCCAAAAATGTGGCTTTACTAAAAAATCAGTATTTTTGCTACAAAAATACTTCGTCGAATTAAGGGTTAAACGACTAAATTATGTTTAATTTAAGATGGAAGATTCACAAAAGGTTTATGAATAAGTTATACGTATTCATAAGAAATTATCAGAAATCAGAAAATAGACAATAAATGCCATACTTAATTAAGGTGACATCGAGGAAAGGGGTAGGGGGATGCAAGGATCATCTTTGTATGTAGTTGTTATACCACTACATAGAAATTCCCTATTGGAACATGCCGCCCACTCAGTTTACAAGTATGAAGAGTATGCATGTGTGCATCGTATAGTTGGTTCAAAGCTTCTTGATTAAACATAATATTTAATATGGTTTAACTTCTCTGATTTTGATTTCACTACTATGTTCGAACAGTTCTCGAGGTCTATCGCACTAAAGTGTATTCTTGGGTGCTTCCTTTCCTTGAAAAATATTGATTACTAATCTTTAATACTATCTTATCTATACTTCCATATTAATATTATAGAGAGGAAAGATTCGTATTTTTGCATTTTTTGTATGTATTTGATTCACGCAAAAACTACTAGCCCGATTTAAAAATTCTTTTAACATTAGATAGGTAATTTAATTAGAGGAATAAAGCTCATGTCACACAGTATGCTCCTGCTCCGACTTTAAGTACCTTGGTTCTCTAGTCCAGTCTGACAGTGGCGTTGACCGAGACGTAAAAAGCTGAATAAATGCAGGTTGGATGAAATGGCGACAGGTTACTGGTGTGACTTGTGATCCAAGAATGCCTCTTAAGCTTAAGGGACAGATCTACAAGTCCATCATAAGACCTGTCGTATTGTATGGATCTGAATGTTGGGCCACCAAAGTTGCGGATGAAAGAAGATTGCATGTGGCTGAGATGCGTATGTTAAGATGGATGTGTGGTGTGACAAGAATGGATAAAGTTAAGAATGTGTACATTAGAGGAAGTTTGAAAGTAGCGCCAGTGGTGGAGAAATTGAGAAGCAAAAGGTTAGTGTGATACGGACATGTTATGCGACGAAATGATGAGGACATAAACCAGAAAGTGTTAAGTAAATGATTGAATGTGGATAGCTACCGAGGAAAGTATGGATGGATTGTGTGAAAGAGGAAATGCTTAAGAAAGGAGTAGATTCAGATATGACGGCTGATAGAGATGTATCAAAAACAGTATCAAAAACAGCACATACTGTGCCGTACCTCCGTAAGGGATGAGGGCAAGTGGATGATGAGGTAATTTAATCTGTGAGTAACATAGGCTATATTTAAATAGCGTTTCTGGATCCCGGCGCAAAAAAACCACTACATTTTAATTTTTCTCGGTTTGCGCTGCCTAAACGGTCAGAGTGTATATAAAAAGGTGCATGAAAAAATTGTAGATATCAAAAAGTTCTACAGAAAACTCCGCGATGGCATACATATCTTTAACGATTTTCTTACAATAACCACTTTTTCGTTTACAAAATGAATTAAAAACGTAATATGCTATTTGCGGGGTTGTTTTCTCGGTTTCAATACTAATCCTTAACCAAACAAATGCATTTGTTGTCAGGAGAATTTAATATAGAATAAAACTCTCCATTTAAGGTATTTCAATTGGACTAACAGTTTAGAAGATATCGCAAACACAAAAAATAAGCGTAGCCAAAAATTAGCTCACAAACTACAGGGCATAGAAATATGGAAAAATCTATATGCATTTTTGTTACTGGTTGGCATATAGAGTTTTGTTAGGTTGAAATAATGAGCGAACGTAAGTCTTGTACTGTTTAAATTCCACGCGGACGAAGTCGCGGGCAGCAGCTAGTCTTCAGTATAGATATAATAATCATTTATTGGGATGACATGCTAAAATTGTTTTAAAAAATAAAACTTAATCATACTAATGAAAATTATTTGTCCGAGTATCAAAACGTATAAGACGAACTTGAATTTGAATAGGTATTGATTTCGCCTACGCAGGTAGACAGGCAGTAGTGTGCTTTTTGCTTGTGTGTTGCCAGTGCAAAATGGCCGATTCCCAATATAAAGGGACGACAGGGAACGTAAATCGTCAGTTTCCAATTTGGCGCCAGTATCGCATCGTCTTTGCGATATAGTGTTCTTTCATGTTTAAAACATCTCCCAGTGTTTTTAAGTGAGCCGTGATTTTGTTTGAGAGTTATTTTAATTAAATTGTTTTTCTGAAAAAAAACCTTATTGATTTTGATAAACATAAATTCTACTTAAATATTATATTAGAATTTCGATGAGTTCAAAAAAAGAGTGTTCAGACATTTTAAGAAGAATAAATCGTGGGGTTTTAAGATTCCTGTTTTCAAGATATCTTAGAGCCATTCAACGGGTGGAGGATTTCAACGGATATCAAAGGTTGCTGTGGTAAGGAATTATACTTTTTTTTTAATATAACAATTTATCATTTTACTTATCATTAAATCCTAATATTGGTCACACTTAAATAAAATTTTGAAGACAAATTACCTATGTACATTATAAAATTCTCAGTTTTGTTTTTTATAATTCGAATAATTATGTAAACTTAAGGTTAACTTTGAACTCGCTTGTTAATTTTACGTGTGGTAAAAAGAATTTAACAATAGAACTCCAATTAGTTTGTAATTCTTTGTTTCGGGTTTTTAAATTTACGACTTTCAATAGTTAGCGGTGATTCAATTGTCATTGTAACAAAAAATTCACTTAATATTAACAAAATTAGAAAAAGGAATTAAGATTTTTTATTGTTTTTAATTTGGTGGATTGTATATATTAGTATTGCCATATATATGAAAAAAAGACTACTCACAAAATAAATTAAGTATAGCAACATTTGTATTTATCTGTGACAGAACAGAAATTAGTAGAACTTTCCAATCGGTCGATTCTTTGTTCATTTTGGTTAAATTGTGCGAAAATTGATCACGTCCATTGCATTGCATCGTTCCATATTTGTTTAGCAGTGTATTACACAAGTTTATAATGTTTCAGAAGAACGTAATGTAAATTTATAAAGTGAACAGTCTAATAAAAGTGTTGACACGACGTAAGCAGAAGTAAAAAAAAGAAATGAGCAAAATGGTGCCATAGAACGTGTAATTTTTCTACACCTTAAGAAAATTCATCCAACCAAAATGGCGCAGAACGCAGAGGAAATTGAAATTTGTGAAACTAATCCAAATTCCCTCGTAGAAATATGTATAAACAATATCGCGCGTGATCTCGACGCAATTTCGATAAGAGATCCTGACACCCTCATACGCAGCCTTAGAAGTGATATAATTCTTCCCGCAGAAGTGTGCGAAAAATTTATTGAAGTATTCCAAGAGAGACATGTAATTGATGACAAGATCGCGAATATATTTCGCGACACCGAAAGCACAAAAATCATCAACTTGAAGCTGCGGAACGCGGCAGTGACCGTGGAAGGTCTCCTCTGCTTTATGGTTCATAAACCAAAAACGGTGGAGTTAATTCACTGTGTTGATTTGACACAGGAGGCCATCGATGTGATCAATGATCATAGCGAAAATCTGGTTTCTCTTAAATTTGGACCTCTGTGTTACACCGTTTCACAGAATACACTATATCAGAGGGATTACATCTTGTCCATACCACAACTAAGGATGCTGTCCATTCAGTGCCGCAGGGCAACTAGCTTCCCGTTATTACTCACACTGCCTCTGTACTGCTTGAGGCACTTGGAACTATCTGAGTTGAGTCAATCTAATTACCTGCTTGCTTTGCAAGGCCTTGAGACTCTGGAGTCATTGATCCTTTACAATGTACGGATTGAGACTGGACTAGTGGAATGGATTTGTACCCTGCACTCATTAAAGCACCTAGATTTGTCTCAATCAAACGAAAGGTTGGGGATATTCCCGAATCCAAATACTATGCTAGCAAGGATGATGCATTGTCTCCCACGTCTTATGTCTCTGGACATTTCCGGTACTAATTTAGCTGGGACGGGATCTACACCCCCCCCTGAAGCAGAAGGTGAGGAACCTGAAATACCGCCAGTTATTGTGAGGTGTGACATTCCTGGCCTTTACAGTCGAGTGGACAGGCCTCTGCACTTCCTGGGGCTTTACGGAACACATAATGGGGCCTGCAGGTGGCATGATATTCCAGCTAAAGTGGTAACTTTTTAACTATTTTTATTAAATTTTCTTGTAACCTTTTCTATAGCTTTCTTTAATTGTTTCATTAAAACCAATATTCCTTCAATTAAATTTATGCGCTTTTTTAAAATCCAATAATGAGGTATAGACAAATTTTATAAAATTTAATTAATCATTTGCACATTACATTTTTTTTATACAGATTACAGGTGATGCCAGCGAGGATCAAGTCCTGACATCTGCAAAGGTTTATATGGGAAGACCTGCAATGCTTGCTCATGTGCTCAATGATCTATACTACCTGTTCCGTTATGATCAATGTGAATCAGTACATCAATCTCTTGCTGTAGTACTGGACGCCATGGCTCGACATATCCCAGAGAAACATATTCAAATATCTGGAAGGTAGTTTGTTTTTTTGTTAGTAGTTTGTTTTTTGTTGAATTGGTTTTGCATTGAAATATCTTATAAAAATCAAATATATTCCCTAGTATATTATATGAAGACATAATTACATGTTTTTTTGTAGTGCCACCCTGTTTTACATTGTGAAAGGGAAGGAAAAAGATAAGTTGGGGAAAAAATCAAAGCATGATATCCTGAAAGCTTTGCTGAATGCAATGGAAGAACATAGGAAAGATGAAACTGTAATGAGGAATGGTTGCATAACCATCTGCCAGTTCAAAATACCAGCTGATGTGGTAAGTTTAATTAAGGGTGGGAATACACATGCCAGTGAAATGGTGTAGTAGCTGGTAAGCCAATACAGGTCCAAGGCAGCTACTGGTCCAATGAATATAGTTTGTACTCTTAACTTGAGACTCCGCTGGAATCCAACTCCCACGCTGATGTTTTATTTTGTACCCCATACATTGGAAGTGTCAAGTTATCGGTTTGGGATATAAAAGTTGAATAAAGTACTGGAAGCATTATGCAGTTGGGCAATCACCAGTTAACTTGACATTGTTGCCAAACATTGCTTTGGGCATACCTCATTTTGAAGCCATATAGGGGCTGTTTTATGCAATCTGTGTTGATGGCAATGGCCCTTGATATGTTTTTTTTTATATTCAACAGCTGTGCGAGTATGAACGTTTAGTTCAAATGCTGCTGAGCTGTGTGCCCTACCAGAGCCAAGAGGGATTCGTTCAGCGCGTGTCTATTTACCTGCTTAACTCTCTGGCCTGCCAGGTTGATGGAAACCGGAAATTATTTTTGGGGAAAAGTGGCCTCATTGAGGTAAGAATTATTTACAACACATCCATACAATAAATACACTTCACAATAAATAATTAACTACTATGTGGTTAAGATTTTAAATCTTAATTTGGAGAGCTTAAAACTAGCTTTGAAATTTTAAACTACAAGCTGATAGTCATATCAGTTTATATACGACTAGCTGTTGCCCGCGACTTCTACCGTGTGGAATTTGAAAGTTAAAAACTTACATTCGCCTCTTTTTTCAACCTATTACCAAAAGTATTAACTTAGTAGTAACCTATGTAATAACAGAAATCTACCGATGCAAGATTTCAAATTCCTAAGCCCGGTAGTTTGTGCAACTGGTTTTTCGGCTACCCTGATTGTTTGTGTTCGCGATATCTTCTAAACTAATATTACAGTATTGTACTATTCAAACTTTTAAGCGATTGGCGGTTTCATGCAAACGATTTTAGATATTAGAGAGTCCATTTTCCATCACCTTTGTGAGCTTAAGCTGAGCAAAAATGCACTCGCGATTTAACATCGAAACGCTATAAAGTCGTGTTATACTAAAGTAGCTATACAGATTCTGCTATACGTTAGTAAAGCGATCTTCGATACAATTGTATTTCTATGCAGCGTTGGTGCACAAGCTAAAAGCGACTCTTCTCATTGCAAACACACTGTTACATTACTTGAAATAAAACTATATGGCGACAAACCTCAGCGTGCGATAAATACTACAAATAATTCTGTTAGTCTACGTAATAAGACAAATCAATATAATATTTGCTAGCAGATAGCTACTTTTATATTGTTAACCTATGACCTATGTTGGCGAATGTTTTTTTTAAATAATCTATACAATTAAAAATGGCGGTGTGCAAATTAATCTTTTTTCTATTACATTCATAGCTGCGCCAAAATTACGGTTTATGGTTTTTTTTTGTACCAAGTTACTATTTTGTTAATAACTAGCAACTTGATATTTATTGATTTTCTTACGACTTGTTATTTCGTTGTAAATGTTTTAGTACAAACACAAAAAATAGTTATCTATTTTTGTCCAAATTGGATCGAAATAAAACCTTCAATTACCATATAAATACATATAATAATAATAATCTAATTTGACGTTTAAGATTTAATCTTTGAACTTGTTAATGAGATTTCCAAGAAGCAAGCTATTTGCAAAGTTAATTAACGTCTTAAAATAGAAGAAAAGTTTGTTAATTAACTCGAAAAGTTTATATTAAGTTGACGAATACGCTACGTAATTACAAAGTTATTTTACAGCTATGTACTTGTATGCGCCTGCGAGTAATTGTCAAAAGCTATACATTAGTGATATTGCTATTATATTTAGCGAGGTTTGATGCGTCCGAAGCGAATTTGATAATCTGATAAGTAAGATTGATATCTGAGCGAAACACAGAAGTCATATATTAATGGATGATACATTACTTATTGTTTGTGTTCGCGATATCTTTTACTATTAGTCCAATTTAAATACTGCAAAGGACAATTTTATTCTACATTAAATTCTTCTGACAACAAACGCATTTATTTGGATATGGATTAATATTGAAACCAATAAAAGAACGCCGCAAATAGCGCGCGGTTTTTAATTCATTTTGTAAACAAAAAAGTGGTTATTGTAAGAAATCCCTTAAAGATAGATATATGCCAACGCGGACTTTTCTGTAGAACTTTGTTGTTACTCACAGATACATTTCCTTTCTAATGGCGAAAGATTTTTTTTTAAATCAGCCCAGTAGTTTTTGAGTTATTTCAAGACATACAAAAATAGAAATCTTTCCTATTTGTAATATTAGAATAGATGTATAAATTTGTCTGATATTTCGAAAGTCCGTTCAAAATGGGATTACGATCTCTCTAATCTAAAGCGGGCTTTACTTTGTGATTAACTGGTTAGTCTATATTCAATATTGGATAGCTGAAGATGGTATTAGTTATGTTACTGAAGCGAGGCATTTGCATATAATATTGTCACTTTAGCATAATTTTTATATCTGTTAACTTGTTAACTTGCTTTTGTTTCCGTGTTGATTGAGTTTTTGGCAACTAACTTTATTATTGCGAGTCTTTTAGCAAATGGTAGCGATGTATTTAATATTGATAATTTTGTATTATGTCAATTTGTAACATTCGGGATTACTAACCTTATGAAGCGTGCCGCCAGTTTCTCTTTATTTTTTTTTTAATAACTAAAATCGTTATATAGTGAATGAAGCGCGCTTTCGTTATTAAAATTATTTAAACGCTTTTATTTGCGATTTCTAAAGAGATGGTTTTAAATCTTTATGTATGTTCCCTAAAAGATAACACACTCTGTATACACTTCCGCACTAGGTTTTATTTGTTTTATGTCCTTAAAATGTATTGTCCGGTGCCATGGTTGATGGTCTTCGCCTTGAGTCGTTGACCGAGCTAGCGGGAAGATGCGGTTTGCGCGCTAGCAGCAGTCAGGCCCAGGAGATGCAGGGCGAAATCCTCGCGAACTTGCCTGTCCTATATCGCCACACCATTTTCCCAAACGAAATATGTTATTGTTTGAGGCGAAAATTTTACCCTTTTGTGATCTTTTTCTTACAGTTGGTTTACACTGTCGAAACGCTTATATTTAAACTGTGTAGAATTTTCAAATGTATGTGTAATAGGCAACAGAGAACGAGGCGAAAATTGCAACTATTCCAACAATCGAGGATAAAGACTCTCGATGGTACTCTATGCTCTACACAAAAGCGATCTGTGAATGATCATATAAAAATAACAACTTATTCCATACAGCATTGCCATAAACTGACATGAATTTCAACCTGTTATTTTCGTCATATATTCATGTTCTATAATTCCACCTTTAATGTTGTTCCAGAAAATGGTGCAACTGATAACTACACGTCACGAATGTGTTCTGTGTGATGATGTGCTTGAGGTCGCGTGGTCCACTCTGTGGAATGTTACTGACGAAACGCCGGCTAACAGCAGTCGCTTCCTCGAATGCCACGGAATGGAGTTATTCATTGCATGTCTCGAGGTAAATGACAGATGTAAAACCTTAATCATAAGTGCATAAAGTTCATAATCAATTGTATTTGCTATCGATGGCGTTTTATAGACATATTTTGTGGCCATAGTTCGATACAGCTTAGTTATTATACCCGATAGACTGGAATTGTGCTGTAAAATTTAAATCAGCTAATATTATTACTAAATCAGAATTATCTTTTTGAAATATATCCCTCTTACATAAATAAAACTAACTTTAATAAATAAACATTATTAAACCCAATATAGTATAGCCAAAAATTCCCCATGTTTACAGACTTTCCCCCAGAAAGAGGAATTACTCCGCAACATGATGGGCTTGCTGGGCAACGTCGCTGAGGTGGCTGAACTGAGACCTCAGTTGATGGACACTGAGTTCCTTGATGTCTTCTACGATCTTCTAGATTCGTCTAGCGATGGAATCGAGGTATGTTTAAACTTAAACTTTCAAATCATCAATGAACTTTCAAATTATTAAAGAATTACAACCTTAACCTTGATGCAGATGTCATTGGTATAGATTACTAGGTGGAAATTTGCTCATTTACCTTATAGTATACAAAACTGACAGACATAGAAAAATGTTTGCATAAATGTGTTTACATGTTCAATACATAACAGGTAAGCTACAATGCGGCTGGTGTGCTGGCCCACATTGCTTCTGATGGAGAAGAAGCCTGGGTGGTAGCCAACCCATCAAGAGACGCTGTCCTCGCGCGCCTGGCCATGGCAATACAGACCTGGAACCTCCGCGATGAGAGAAATATAAATTACCGCTCATTCAAGCCCATCTTGGGTCTACTCAGTGTTTACCACACTCCGCCATGCCAGCATTGGGCAGTGTGGGCCCTTGCTAACCTGACTACAGTATACCGTAAGTGTTCAATTATAATCAAATCAGTCATTAAATGGACACATGCTTGTTTAAAGGATGTTTTAAAAAAATCCACTAAATCATATATATTTTTTTAGTATTGCTATTAAATATCTTCTACTTTTATTTTGCTCATAGTTATAGAACTGTTTTGTACATTGCATAAATAATTAATTTGTGAAATATTTATCTACTTGCAACTGTCTCATCACTGCCTTTTATTCAATAGCTCCTGTATTCAAGCAAAGATTCTATTAGTTATTATTATTGTATGTTTTCCAGCACAAAAATACTGCAGCTTGGTGATTGCCGAAGATGGTATTTCACTCCTTAAAAAGATAATAAAAGACAAGAGGCCATACCCAGTGATTAAAGATCTGGCAAGCATTGTGATCAACAACTGCTCCCGCTACTCCGCTCAGGACAACGAGAACCCGGCTCCGGATCCTGTGTCTTATGACAATTAGCTATTGGAGTTCTTTGGAGAGGTTGACCCAGAGATAAGGGAATAGCAACGAATTTTATTCCTCAGATGCGTTGCAATCTGGGCGGGAAGCGTCACGATGGGCTTCATATCTATTATTAGTTATGCATTAACCCAATAAATACATAACACGGCCAGTTTGAATTATCCTTAAATGTGGAACAATGAAAATTGGGATTGCGGTTTGTAGAATAGTGTAGTGTTTTAATGGTGATTGTGCTTACCGATGCCGTGTTATTGACGACGCTTCCAATCTCTCCGGACTCTTTGAGTGAGTGCTATAAACAGTTTTAGTGTTAGAGTATAAATTATAATGTATATCGGTTTAAACAACCGATTTTCACAACTTACATAATAGTGTTTGAAGTTTTAACTCTTACTATGAGTTAGAAACGCTCACGTATGAACATGTTATGATCTCAAAGAAATAGCATGTTTTTATGTGAAACAGCTAGTTAATCCATAGTTATTTGTCATAGATTGTTCAGTATTCTGAATAAGTGTGTTGTAAACCAATTTGACTTGAAAGTATTTCATTATTACTATATTTTATTGTTCAAATAGTATAGAATTTGATGATTGTATTACTTTATGACTATACTTTATAAGATCTGTATTTCAAATATTTGTATTGATGATAGTTTAAGATTGAATATTGCACAAACACTAAGGAGTTTGAAATGCTTCAATTTTGATGTTGAAGACTTTCTTAGTGAGTGCACCTCTATTTACTATAGTTATTGTATGAACATACATCACAGTACTAGTCTCAACATTACAATTTCATAAAATTAAAATTCATTTTAGTGTGTTAGGTAAATTGAATATAGAGTTATGATTCCAGGAAGACGTAAATTTAATTATACTGATATAAATAAAGTATAAGCATTACAATGACAAAAAAAATATAATATTTAAGATAAATTGATTAACAAAAAATATTTGATCGTAAATTTTAGCATTATCTCTACATAGTACATAAAAGTTTTAGAGGTTATCTAAATAACCTTTTTCAAATACACATAACTTATTCCCGTTAATATTGAAGATATAGAATTTAGAAAATAGAACGTGATTAAAGCGAGATCCCAATGTTGACAAACAACTCATTTTAGCATAGCGGGTTACTACTGATTTTAAAAATTCATATTATCTTAATTGTAGTTTTAAAGGTATGGGTGATTGCTTAGTAAATAACCCTTTTAAACATTTTAAATATTGACATTAAAGTATTAATTGAAAAAAAATAAAAGGCCAAAAAATATGTAGATTTTGCTAAAAAAAAATTGAAATTTCAAAAACAGTAGTTACAATGTTCGTATATAGATTAGATTCCATTGTCTTTAAACTTAAGTGATGAAAATTAATCGATTTCAAGTATCCAAAACCTCTTTATTGTAGTCAAGTCAACTTTGCTTAATTGTCGTCATACATTTGTAGGATCTCCTCCTCAATTTCTAGTTAAATTCTGTCAAGGTTATTTAATATTAGATGAATATATATTAAGATTAATGTTTAAAATAATGGACGATGTAAATGAGATGGCTGCGTTCGGGGTTGGGTATTAACATGCAAATGTTGTACGAGGGATTTAGTATAAGCTCTGTGTAAATGTCTATATTATATTATATTACATTATCTAGTTCAAATCTTACTCATAACTGTTTTGTTAGAGCGCCACTCAGGAACCTTTTCATAGTCTATTTATCCTAATATGGCACCATTGAGTAAATATTTAGCCATATAATAGCTAAAAATTAAAATGTTATGATACAGTATCTTGTAGTGTTAACCTAACCTTAAATTATTTGGTTTCTATTTTTATTATGCGTCTGGTAAATAGATTGTTTTATCAGATTTTACGTTTCTGTCAAATTATTTGATAGATTGCAGCTTCGTTTGACGATTTTATCCATTTTTAAGATATGCAAAGGTTATAAAGTTGGATAGATGACAAATTTGACATAAAATTTTATTATTTACCAGACTGTATCTGATTTTATTGCAATGTTAAAATTTGATGCAAATTAAAATTTAAACAACTATTTTTTTGCTTACAACAAACATTGGATGTTGTAAAAGAGAGTGTACCTAAGTAGACATAGCTTTTAGACGTAGTAAATTATTATATTGGTGTATTTCTCTTATAAACTTTTCTTGTTCTGAATGTTCCTTGCATTGATCGCTATTAGATGTTTGAATAGTGCTATTAGATAAATTCTTATGCTATCGCGATGTCTGCAGCTAATCTATTTAAATTATATATCTGTTAAACGAGAATTAAATAATTTTTCAATTTGTTTCACATAATTTAAACTATAGAGATTTGATTGATGTTATGAACTTGATTATCAATGACAAAGGAACCGGGAACTTTCAAGAGATGTTTTATATGAAGTTGTTTTTGTTAGTTGAGTCAAACTTGTTTACTTCATATATTTTTATTCTTTAAGTCTTACTGCTTTAATATGCTATGTGATTTTAGAGTTGACATGTTAATAAATTTAATCTATTTAGAATTCGCCTTTTATTTTGATTAAATTCTATCATCTTTACTGTCTAAATCATAAAATTTAATTTTAGTCCCTTTCCACTCTTTTCTTGAGAGGAAAGGATGGAAAGGAAAATTGTATTTGACGGTGGAGGAGACGCATAGGAAGGAGAAATGTCCTCTTTATGTGCGTCTACTCCTCCGTCAATGAAGGGTAGGCAACGCATCTGCAATGGCGGATGTTTATGAACAGCGGTCCCTTTCCATTTTGGCGGATTCAGGTGGCCACTTGCTCGATTGCCATCTCATATTATAAAAAAAAATAATAATGACTACATGATGGTTTGTGTAATGTAGAATATAGTCTGAAAGAACATACAGGCTACAAATTTTTTGGTTCCACACGTTCATAGTCGCAGGCGAAAGCTATTCCTATAAAATATTGTCTATGACTCCGGAGTAGAATATGAATTCAATGACATCTCAATTGTCAAAATTAATTCAGTTTTTAAGCCTTAGAGGTCACCAAAGTACTTAGACCCATATGCATATCTTTATTTTATTACTTTATTTTATTACCATCATATAAATACGTAATCCTCTTATAAGTCGAGTTCAAACTTGTGTGTGACTAAACTATCGCACAACTGTTCTGTGGTTGCCAATACAACTATTTAGTTGTACAAATGACAATTTTTACAGTTTTGCTATAGTTTAGTCAAAAGTGCACACTCTTAAAAAGTAACCATTCGGATGATTAGGAAGGTAAAAAAACATTTCAAAATAAAAAATATAAAGTTTAATCATAAAAGGTACATAAAATCTCAAAGTACAAATAGTAAACTGGTTTGTATGTAATGTAGAAAAAATACTAAATATCTTAGTAAAACTAAAAACAGTAGATTTGCCTAAACTAGATGTCTAGTTTAGCATTACTTAGTTGTAAGATTTAAAAAAACAAATATTGGATTCACCAGCATTGTAAAAGTTTACAAAATACTGACCCAATAGTCCAAAACATTTTAGGTAAAATTTTTTTTTAGTAAAACAAACATAATATAAGTATTTAACATGCATAGAGATTTGTTTTAACTGTAACAAAGTAAATGTTTTCATATTTAAAACTAAACATCATTAAAAGTAACATAATTTAAAACATTATAAATGAATAAAAATCTGAACAGGCTAAAAAACTACTAAATTTCTTTCATTTAACATGTGTTAAAATTTATGAAAGTAACAAAACTTTCAATAAGACTGGTAACATTTCATTTGTAAAAAATAATTATCACTGAACAACTTTCCAGAAGCAAAGTTAACAGAGATGTTTAAAACAACATTTAAAGGATATATACTAACATGCAATATATGTATAGAGAAACAAATCAAGCAGTTCGCTGTATTATGTGAAAACCAGTATTTGTTTCAATTGGATCACTTATTTCTCCAATATCTAAAGAGGATGCTACGTCCTTGAAAACTCTGTCCACATTAGTTTGGAGAAAAATAGAATCCATTTTGCCTCCCACAAAAGCTGTCGAGCATTCTGAATATTCCAACGCGGCTTCTTCAAATGTATATTTATACGTCATTATTTCAAGGCGTATAACTAGAAATATAAACAAAATCTTTTGTAATAAACTGTTTGAAAATTGCAAAAATAAATCACGTATCTTACTTCTTACTAATATTATAAATGCGAAAGTTTAGATAGATGGATGTTTTAGATTTTGTAGCCTAATCGGATTTCGATGAAATTTGGCATAGACATAAAGGAAAGTCTGGAAGAAGACATAGCCTTAGGCTAGACATGCTTTGTTTTTTTGAACTCCATGCAGACGGAGTCGCGGGCGAAAACTAGTTAATATTATAAATGCGAGTTAAGCTATACTTAAACGGCTAATCTGCTGAACGGATTTCGATGAAATATGTAGAGGACAGTCTTAAAGAGTATATAAGCAACCTACTTATTTTGTTTTTTAATTCTACGCGGACGGACTCGCAGGTAAAAATTAGTCAAAAACAATAATACTCCAGTTGTCTTATGAATTAAGCCTGTTCGTACACAAGGTAACGAAAATCTGCAAATGCAATGTCACGTATCGACGTCACGTACCTGTTTACGACCGTCAACGAGATTGTATTACGTAAGTCGCTTCCAAACCAAAATTGCAGATTTACATTGCCTTGTATATGAAGAGGATTACAATTGTCACGATATTTGTATTTCAAACAAGATATAAGAAAATAATAAAAACCCTTTGCGAGATTATAAGCATCACTTTCAGAGCGTGTTGCACATTCCCCACTCAGTACTCGACAGTGTGGAGTATGGACGCTCAGAGAATGCTTTATAACGATATGACGTGCTTTAGTCCTTATAGGTCTCCTCAGTGGTCCTTCATCGCCTAAACTAAACTCTTCATCTGTCGCTAAAGAGACTGGCCTATGGGGTTTTTTCAATTGATAATCGCCAGTTATCAAATTACAATAGAAAAGTTGTCCTGAAACAAAAATTGTTTTTATTATTTTTATCATCAAACATCCGTACAAAAACATTTAACCCTATATAGGTTTTATTTAATTCATACGCCTGCCTTAAAATCAACATACAAGTAACAAAAAAAAATCTACGGCGCAGCGTCAACTCTAATTTTGTGCACTGGCTGTGTCGGCGTAACCGATTTTTTCCACAATCGCCGCGTCTGCGAAATTCAGCAAGTGGACACGCATACTCAGAATGCAGGGAGTGCAATCAATTCTTCGATTAGAGTCTTGTTCTGTGTATGATTTATGTACTAATGTGCCGGTGTAGTCCAATAAGTAATAGGTTGTCCGATAAGTATGTATTGATTTTCGATAGATGGTGAAGCGCATTTAATTATTAAAATTTATTTTAGACAAGTCTTTCGCCGAAAAAGGTTGAAGTTTAAGGTGAGAACGGTAGTGAAGTAGTGTAATAAATGTAGGCAAAAATTAAAATGAGTTCCATTTAAAATGTGTTGACAACCCTTTATTATTTGGTACTGTCTTCATAAACAAGTGATTAATGTTAAATAACAACGCAGAAGATATTCAATACTGTAGGAGATTATAATCAAAACATACCACGAAGTAAACAACGAAAAAAGGTAGATATAAAATGCACATATCATAAATGTAAAACGTATTTGTTATAAATACAAAACTATGATAATTTAATGTAATCGATGCAGATGCATTTTTTTTTCGTTCGTCTGTCCGCAAACGTTTCGCGTAATCTCTAAAATTGGCGAACATTTAATTTCGTGTGGACGAAGTCGCGAGCAATAAGTAGTATACCAAAAGGAATTTAAAATAACATTTTACAAAATTCTAGTTACGGTTTCCCTTTTACGCACCAGAAAAGTTTGTGTCCTTGAAACTCTGACAAACATCACGTACTTTTCAAATTACTCACATAATTCTGTTTAATTCGAAGTTATCTAACTATTTTCCACGGCAGCTTTATAAAATAAGGCTATAAAAAGGCCAAAGGAACCCCTATTTGGGTTCGTCGATGCATCACTTTCTTTAATTTGAAATTAGTTACATATAATGTTTACAGAAAAATAACGATGCTTTTTTATGTTAATGTTATCAATATTATAATCCCAATTTCATGCATATTATTTTACTGTTTTTGTTAAATTAATAGAAGCAAGCATATGTTCTGACAAGAATTTTCAAAATTGTTTAAATTTTGAAAATTCTTATCAGAAAATATGCTAATATGTTAAAAATAATAACTTACCGTCGATCTGGTTTGCACGAAGCATCCACCCAAGAGGGACAGGTCGTTTTGGCGCCATTTCTCTCCAGAAAAAGGGTCAACTGGACAGTGCGCAATACTTGAAGCAAATGCAAATGTGCACCATACATCACACAGGAAGACCAAACTGCATCCTTTTTTATCCCCACCCTCGATCCACATTATAGCATAGACAAGAAATTTATCATGTTAAGAATTATATTAAAATTTTGTGTTCTACAATTTGCGTTATTTTTTATTTTAAAACTATAAGGAAAAATTCCTTTTTTTTACTAAAACAATGCCATAAATGTCAAATCAATTTACCATTACAATATCAAACTTAATTAGGATTTTAAAAGATAAATGAAGGTAAGTGTGAATTAAACTACCGTCTATTGAATTGTACGTTAGATATAAGAAAAGGGTAGATAGAAGTTGTCTAAAATTCGTCCTCCGGCGCATATTGTTTAGACGAAATGCGTAATAATTGCTATTTGTCTTGGTGTGGTCGTGATATTGCATTTTACGGCGGGATATTGATGCAGATCATACTGTTACTACTACTTTACCGCCTAAACGGCTCAACGCATCTCGATGAAATTTGGCACACATGTAAAGCTAAGCCTGAAACCACACTTAAGCTACTTACTTTTGTTTTTTGAATTTCAAGCGTTCGGAGTGGCGGGTGAAAGCTAGTGTAATAAATACCAATTTGGTCTCTAATAAATAAAAACATTAAATATTTTCGACTTGTTAATTTCTTCTCCCTTGTAGCCCTCTGGCGGTCAAATTTGGATATTTTGCTAATGAAATATAAAAAAAAATACATTAAATGTTGCATTGAAAATTTTCCTGTTTTTGTCCTGGTTTATTAGCAAAAGCATACTGTTACTAGTGATATTATTTATGTATGTAGTTCCAATTAAAGACCCGGAGATTGTAAACATAACTTAAATGCGACATGCGTGCACTGTTTTTATCATTTCTCATTTCGCTTAGGTAAACAATTGTCAGACAGAACTGACCTATGTATATGGACTATCTATAATACATTATATGCCTATTGTAATTATCGAGATATTGGCGCTGAACTTTTAGTAGCGGCAGTGAGGGTTCGAACTAAAAACAGAGATTGAATTTAAATGCGTGGGTAGCCGATAATCTGGTCTAGGTTAAGGGGGCATTAATTTTATGATTACTATGGTTACTACTATGTAATTTATTTTTAGAATATCATAGAATTGACTATAAGAATAGACGCGTTTAATGAGACAAAAGCATGAGCTGTACTAAAAGATAACCTATCCATTTATACAGATCTATGACAGTTAATATTATCTTTAAAAATATAAGGTAGTAATAATCAATCTAGTATTTTATTATATAGATTTTATACCAGAAAATTAATAGAAATGAGATAAATTTAATTTCTAATTCACTTTTACGGTGTACAATTGTTAATTTCAACTTGATTATAAGAGACAAAGGCAATTAAATAAAAGATGTTTGTAATGCAACAAGACATTTATTAACTTTTCATGATACATGTTTCATACACAACATGTTTCATACATGTTCATAAACTTGTTCCAATACATGTTTAAATTTAAACACATGCAATAGATTATATTTAACTTTTTAAACAAACATGATTATTAACTAGTCTTGGGTAGTACATGCATGATGTACTAAAAAGTATTCTTGGGTAGTACACTTACGATGTACTAAAAAGTATTCTTGGGTAGTACACGTACGATGTACTAAAAAGTAATGTTACTCGGCACTGTACTAAAAGTAACGTTACCGAACGGCTTCTGTTAATCGGACATATGGCACTTTTAGTACAGTACACGATATCGGTGTTCGCTTTTACGTTGTTTGATTTGGTTGTATATTTTCCAGGTCTATAGCCCTCGTTATATTATATTCGTGTTGTGTTTCTATAATTCTGAAGTACTAAATGTACTAAATGTACTAGTACGTTTTCCCAATTGTACTAGTACGGACACTTGTATATGTCCGATTAAGCCCAAGACTATTTACTCTAATTTGTGCTAAGTTGTTACCTTTACATTTATTAATATGCTAACATTACTTCACGTAACATATAACGTTAGAAACGATGATATGTGTTTATATCTATTAATCATAAACTATTTAAATATCAAAAAGTAACAATTAATTTTTAAATATCACATAATATTCGTAAAATTATTAATCTATGATAATTGTTTTTTTATAATATCTTATGTGGTCCTTTTTAACAATTTAGTGCTAATTACGTCACTGTCCAGTGACTTTATTTGGTGTTATTTTTCGTTATTTATCAATAAATCGTACAACTTTAATATTTTATAATAAACTTTATATAGACTATACAATAATTCTATATTTGAATTATTGACGCCTAAACTAATTCTTGATTATAATAATTTTTTTAATTTTTAGATATTAAATAAATGAATAGTGCAGCTAACATTTCTATAAATTTTTATGTATATTTTAATTATCAAAATTACTATCGGAAACTAATTTTTATATAAGGCAATCTGAGGCAAATGTCTATAGCGATGCGATATACCATAATATTGCTATAATATCCAGTAACATTTGTACATAAAGTTTGATATCACATTACGGGTGACGAACTCTCATATCTGATAATCGGAATGTTTTCTCAAGCCGATCTATTATCTATAAAGCGATTAACCACAGCCGCGACAAAATCCCGATTTTTAAAAAATATTTTTTAACAAAAAAAAGTTTCTAAAAATGTTTTTATGTAAATTATGTGGATAGAATTCATTGACTTCTAAATACCACTGGACAGTCCGCGCCGTTTATATTTGAATTTCGCCATTTTGGCGACTCGAAACTTGAATTTATAGATAGAATCAATTACAAAAAATCAACAGGCATGTATAGTCAAATAATGATAAAGAGATATTATCGCGGTTAATTTTAAAAGAAAATATAACATAGTTATACAAATAAAAATTACATTACAGGGGGCGCTAGTGAGCTGTTACATTTTTTTACTTATGACCATCGGATCACTATTATCTAATATTCGTAATAACATTTTCTTAACATCAGCGACATAAAATATATTAGATTCATGAAACGCCATACAATCTCATACAATTTTTGTCGATAACATAACAAATATTAGTAATAGACCCTCTAAGCAGAAGAATTAGGAGCGAGCTATCCAACGTACAAGAAGTCAATGGTATAGTTGTTCAATTGATGTGCGTACACTAGCTGCTACCGCAGTGTGTCGCGCGCCGTCAAGCGGCACGGACGTGTTATTCGTTCAGTATGCAGGTGCGCATCAGAGCGTTCACTACCGCGTATGGGTCGCAGTTGGAAGCAGGGCGCCTGTCCTCCAAATATCCCTTCTTCTCTTCAGCGACTGCTCGCGGTATCCTGATACTGCTAGCACGGTTAGCGACACCTACGGACACATTTTAACACAAAATTAATTTTAGTATACATTAAAATATTGTTTAGTAGTACTGTTATTGTATTTAGTATAACTTAAAATATTAATAAAAATAATAGAAAAAAGTAAAAATATAAACTGTGCAAAAAAGAGTACGTGCTAAGAGTCTGTAGATGTTGATTTAAAATAATAAAAAAAACACAAAATTTATATCAAAATTGACAGAAAATTAGTAACTATTAATATTAGTCCATTTTCTATTCTCATGCAGTGGGATTATGGAAGGGGACTCAGAAGGGGAAATATTCTCTCCGTCCGTCCCCTCCATTTATTTAAAGTAGACAAATCTGCAATTGATAACTTCTCTGATATATAGTAATTTCTTTATTTCAGTGAAGAAAGATGTCCGCTTGCTTATTATCCCATAATATAAAAAATAGCGCCTACTTTATTGTAACAATAAAATCTAAAAAGTGTTTGTTGGCGAGCGCCTGCCACTTTTCGAAGAGCAATGGACAAATTTCACATTACGGTCTCGAGAAATTCTTTATTGAACTGTATTCAAAAATTACTTAAAAACTTTTACTTATTTCTCTAAGCTATCTACATATTTACTGTGTTTGTAAATAAAGAAATTGATCTAATTTCATTGAAAATGTTGCTCTTACATAATTTAGTAATTGTTACTGAATGTAATGCGAGTTCTCTTACTAAGTACCCACTAAGGGAGACTCATAGTGTCAACTTACCGGCGCTGAAATCATTAATACTGGCGGTTTCGTGAAGGCCTGTCAGGCGACGCTCATTGTCTTTGCCACCACGAGGGTCATACACCTTAATATGCTTCATGTGAACCTTCGACAACTTGTCTATGGCCTTCTCAATCTCACTGGAAATTAAATACATCAACAATCAATATGCCATAATAAAAAACAACTATTTATACTATACAACATTTACTCGGAAACACCAAAATTCAGTATTAAATTTATCACCGAGCTGAAACATCCTAGGTCATAGTTTACATGTTTATTTAATTCTATTATAGAAAGAAATTTTTAGTAATTAACTTGTGTCATATATTTAAAAGGCTATAAGAAACCGGTTTTATACATCTTTATCCTTAATACAAATGACCTCAAAAGACAATGTATGTCAAACAACTTACATTTACCTCAACCTTATTAAAAACAAGGTGAAACAAGATAAGTACATGTAATTACTAATATTTGCATTCATTTCACAATTTACTCTTTGATTATACAATTATGGTATTTGCAATGTAATAAAACTTTGGAGTTTAAGATTAGATATATGGAAACGTGGTATTAATATAATTTTCTTTATAACTGATTTTAAATTCCCACAATAAGAGTCATCCTTAATATTTATCATACTACTCGTAATATTACAGATGCGAAAGTTGATGAGAGATGGATATTTGTTAGTTTGGAGTGTAAACGGCTGAACTGATTTCGATGAAATTTGGCGTAGATGTAGAAGATATCCTGGAAGAACACATAGGCTACTTGCATTATTTCTTAATTCTGCACAGACGGTTTCGCCTGCGAAAGCTAGTTTTAAAATAAAAATCAAAGAAAACAAGGGCACAGAGTAAAACAAATTAAAAAAATACTCACATAATACCATTCTCTTCCCGCATCTTTTTAGTAGAGAAGTTGGTGTGAGCACCGGATCCGTTCCAGTCCTGCACAGGCTTAGGATCAAAGGTCACGATCACACCATACTCCTCAGCCAGTCGGTGCAGGATGTAGCGGGCCATCCACAGATCATCGCCAGCAGTCACGCCAACTGATGGCCCAACTTGGAATTCCCACTGTGACGGCATCACTTCAGCGTTAGTACCGGCTATTGGCACACCAGCGTACAAGCAACATCTGAAAATATAAAATTGCATTGTTAAGAAAAGACAATAAAGAAGAACAAAATATCAGTCCACCATACTAAGAGCGCACAACTGTTTAGTCTGACTTTGATTCCTATATACTTATATGGAGATAACACTACTTGGTTTTTAATTGTGCAACTAAAAAGTTGAATTGGCTACGATAAAATCGACAATTGAACACTAGTTTTGCAATAGTTTAGTCAAAAGTGCGTGCCCACTCCAAGAAAGGCCCTAAAATACTTGACTATGGACCATAATTTTTTATATTGTTTTATTAAGCTACATATTTACTACTTCACATATTAATATAATAATCATATTATAAAATGACTTGTTTTTGCCAGTGGCTTTATCTGCGGAAATAATAAATTAACTTGGTAAGAAGCCTACATGTTCTTCCAGACTATGCCCTACATCAATGCCAAATTTCAGCTACATCTTGGAAATACCTGGTAATAAACATCCATCCATTCATCTTAACTTTCACATTCATAATATTAGTAAGATGAAAACACCTCTGATGAGGCAATAATAAATGGTGGATTTCTTGTCAATTATGCATACTTTTCACTAAAATAAACTTGTATCAAATAGATTTTAAGACAAACTTACTTATAATGGGCTTCAACTAAATCCCTTGCAAATACTTTGTTGGCACCAACACCACAGTAGTAAGGTCCCTGCGGTGGTGGGAAACCGCCCGGGGGCCAACCGAAAGGCCTAAGGTCTGAATCTAACAAGATGTACTCCTGTTCAATACCAAACCAAGGCTCATCATCTTTGCACTTTTCATATGCTTCCTGACATTTCACACGGTGATTGCTTTCTGTGGAATTATAACAATAATCACATAAAATAGACATTTTTAATTGAGAAATAAACATTTCAATTTACTTTTAAAAACAAATAGGATTTTGTTAAGTAATTTTAGGAGTTTAAATACAATTAACGATGTTTTAACTAAGACCACCATGTTAAACCTCCATTAATGACATATGAAATATAATCGAGTTTGGCCTTACCTGTTGGCTCCATATTGTACTTGTAAGTGTCACACATGACAAGAAGATGGTTACCACGACGGAAAGGATCCCTATAGAGGGCGCGGGGCACAAGATAAGTGTCCGAGTTGTGGCCATCTGCCTGACCTGTTGAACTGCCATCGAAGTTCCAAACTGGCAGATCTGTGGATATACAACATTTTCATATTTAACACTGTAGAAAAAACTTTATGTATAATAAAAGTCCTTCTCTAACAAATATTTGAAGTAGGATTTAGTGTTACATTTAACTGAAACGAGTAACTATTAATGGTTATGATTTTTTTGTGTGTATAATACATTACTTTAAAACTTTTTAATAGTTCGTTGCAGTCGATGTTGGGCAAGGTGCCTGCAGAGCTGAGCCATGTTTCTTTTAAAAATAACATTTTAATAACACAACAGTGAAAAAGATAACAAATTAACAAAAGGAATAAAGGTAACAAAAAATTTGTTTTGACTTTTGACACATTTGTCAGTTTGACGTTTGACACTGACGTTTAGATAGCGCGAGCGGGAATAAGTTGTACTCATAGATTATAAAATCAAATACTTTTGAATGATAAAAAATTTTTGTTGACTTTATGTAGAAAAAATAAACATTTTTTTTTTAAGATTCAACATACAATGGGCTTTAAATTTTTAATTAGTTTATTAAAATTTCTTTAATCTGTAAATTGTACAAATTATAGGGTAGCAATATAAAGGTCGATTGTGGCGCTCTAAGGTTAGGTTTTTTACTAATATTTTTACTAGTTATTTTTAATTTAATACTAAGGTACTTTAACATTTTCAATACTACAATTATTATGAGGTATAATTTTAAAATGCGTTGTTAAATGAAGCAAAACACTCTACATATGTCTACAAAATAGTATGGAACTATTAAACTATTACGGAACAAAAAATATCGCAAGGTTTGAATGTATTGTAATCTACACTTCTATGATTGCTGGGAGCTTATTAGGGAAACCTTTGAAGTTCTCATCAAAACTGTCCCTGTTAAGTTTCTGTTCGCAGGGGATGGATGCTTCGCGGCCATCCTGAGGGAAAAAGTACGGTGACGAAAATTGGTCCACATACGACCACTTCAAATCTTCGAGAACTGATAGTTCATACTTCGTGTACATGTTTTCGAGGATCCGTGTTAGATTGTCTACAAATTAAGCAAAATTTATTTGTATTTACACAGAAAATAGAAACCAATAAAGGACTTTTCCTTCTGTGCTTATTGAAAATTTACAATTCAATTACAAAACACGTATTGGGTATAATTGAATTATTCTTAACAATTCTTAGACTAATGTCATGATTTCCCAAGAGCAGGTTAGAATGATACATTTTTAAAGCCACTTGCGCAACCGATATTTGTGAAGAACCGTCGGTTTATTAGCTCATAGTACGCGTTACAAATCACCGTTAAGCAACCCTGTTTTAATGGACGTAGGCGGCAGATCACATTCTACAACATAGAGGGAAAAGCAGTTCTTTATCAAGCGATTCAAGCCACTTATTTTTATCTAAAAGGCACCAACCGCATGCATTTCATCTCTATTAGAAATTAAATCAACCGCAACTAAAACCGAACCGATAAGAAAAGAAGTCAGGGCTGCCACAGAGATAAATTGCAATTTAAAACATCAATAGTAGTAATGGTTTACATTAAACGAAATAATAGATAATTGAATTTTAAATCATAAAATGATATTCTGCAGAGAAAAATACTGGTACAATCTTACTAATATAAAATCACAAAAAAATGTCAATTTGTCTTATAGAAAACGTGTAAATATATTTGACAACCCTGGCAAGGCACGTGAAAGTTTCATTTCGATACATTGCGCCATAGTTTTAAAATCACGTGAATTTTGACGAACGTATCGGCATCATTAATTCTATCGTGATGGAAGTCTTAGTTAACGCATAATCATATTGTAAGTTTCCGGCATAAATATAAATAAGTACTTCCCAGAATATAAACAAATATAAGTATTATATAAATATAAATTGAGTCGGTATCAAGTAGTCGGCGCCAGGGGATCTACATTTTCCCTACAAAATCGAAATTCGCCATACAGGCATTTACAGTTGCCTTGAACACTTGTAGCACTTAAAAACAATTGCATTTGTTGAAGCAAAATAAACTAAACAAATGAAAAATAACTATGCATTTTTTATTCTTATTTCAATTACTAGTTATAATTTATTTTATTAATTAATTTTGAAAAGTAAATTGAAAACCTTCTATTTCTAAACATTAATAAGTGAGTTTTAAATGTCACTTGTATACAACAGATCTCTATAAAATGGACAGGCTATAAACGCGGTAGTTTGTGTCTTCTTGATTTTCGCCATTTTGGCGGTGAAGGTTGCGGCGCGGAATAAACTGTCAATATTATCAACTTATGCGTTTAAATCGAAAGGAAATCTAAGGCGTCGTTTTTAAGCAATCAGGTAGTTATTTAGTACAAAGTTCAGAGTTGTAAACGCACAATATTTTGTGCTGTTCCTGTTATTTTCAAAGAACAAGAGATAATAATTACGATAATATTGTTATATAGGCTATACAGTAGACTGTTACGTATTTCTTATTTACATATTGATATCTCGGTTCCTTTTTCGAATCGCTTGAAATAGTGAAATTGGCATTGCGCCGTCATTTAACTGCAATAAATTAAAAGGAAGCGTGTATTTGAAATTGCTTCACCTAACCTTTGTTTATTTACGTTGCTCGTTAAATATTAATAAACATGTTTATTGCCGGACGTTAATTTTGCAACGTAATTACAAATGGCGTCGTTGTCAGAGGATCCCTGCATGTAACTAATTCAGATGTAAACATTTTATATATATATTTAAAAACTTTATATAGCGACATAAAATAACGTAAGTCTAAAATAATTTACAATTTTAAATAATTACGAGTTATCACTCATCTATATTTCATTGTTAATTTTACAAACGAAACGACAGATGGCGCTTTCAATCCGGTTCAATTGTTTTACAAAGTTTCTTTATTTACCTGATTCATTAATATTAATTATAATAGCTTAAATAAATATGTCACAGTAATCGATACGTCACCGAAATATGATAATATACATAATGGAAATGTCGGTTTATATACTTCATATTTCTTTTCCAGTTGTATCAAGCAAAAAGTAATATAGGAAGAAAACGGTTGTATAAAAAACTTTAGAAGCTGTTGTATATAGTTGCTTTAACCTTCAGTAGTTCATGTAAATGTAAATCAGTCATGTACGCCATGGTCACTTAAATTTAAAACTATTATGTACGAAAATTTTCATAATGTGTAATTCTCCATCAATTGTATAGCGATTCGCATTAGCATATTTTAAAAAGGCAAACTTTACTAGAGCTATGGACCATTTAAACCAAATTAGTGACACTTTATTTAATATTTTCATGTAAGAGGTTTCAGACTAATTTTAAAACATTACTTTTGATTACAAAAGAGAACCATCGTCAAAATCTTTACGATGCTTATTACATACGTAACATTAAGCGTACACAGATAACATATGTTTAGTTCTATTTCAAAGAAATAAAGACAACATTAAAAAATTATTATTACGGAGTAAATGTAAGTGCAAGAATTTCAAGAGCCTGTCCCACCAAATAGTAAATTGTCTGATAACAATCCAACGTGTCAAATCTGTGATGGAAATATTTTTTTTATTTTATCTAACAGTGACGTCATTTTTAAGTAGCCAGTGGTGGGACAGTCCCTAAAAGTTTTTTTAGTTCGCAACACTGATATCTGCTGCAGTAATTTCCCGCTCATCTGTTTTAATATTACAATTAAAGGAGAGACAGACGTGACGTGTGATTCGCCCTTACGTATAATCAGTGTGGAGCAAGTCACTTTGCTGTTTTCGACTTTCTTCGCCACTCTCTTCTATGAAATTTTGTACTCACCTTTAGGTCGTTTAGGGATGAAGCTTAGAGTGCGGTCTTTGCACCGCAAGTGCTCCCCGGTGCCGTCTATCCAGATGTAGGTGGCGAGCACCTTGTCTCCAGGGAGAGGGAGGTCATTGTACCTGCCAAGCAGGGACTTTGACAGGACCGCATTGGGTGAGTTGGTCAAAACAGGGCCCGAGAGGATTTTCGGATTATCTGAAAAAGATACATTACGCTGAAAATTTATATAACATTAGTTACCGCCCGCGAATCCGTCCGCGTGGAATAATAAAAACAACGTGGAGTAGCTTATGTGTTCCTCCAGACTATCCTCTAATTCATATTAATTTATAAAAAAATCATCGAAATCTGTTAAGGCTACCAACTCTAACAAACATCCATCCACCCATTTCAAATTTATAACATTATTAAGATTTAAGTTTATAAACGAAGTGATGTTGATGTTATAACAATCTATCAAAACAGTAATTATTAACATTTTGTGATATATTAAATATTAATATTTTGTTAATAAGTTTTGTCGCGTGATTCTACGATTATAGTTTTTAGAGTGATCGTCGCAATCACAATCGTTTAATACTTACTTTAATAGGTTTTAAGTGTAGATTTCTCTAATTGAGATGTAAAGGATACCCTTAGTGGCCAATAAAGCGGTAGGTAGTTTTTAATCGTAGATATTCGATTGACTCGTAAGGGGACATAAGAGAGAATGTATTTTTATTTACAATCCGTTGCGCAGTGATATTGTTAATTGCTCTTGCGTACAGAAATACCGATGCAGTGGGGAACAATGGCCGTGAGTTGGCGCGCTCGTCAAATGTCAAAAGTGGAAATGATCGGATACGATGCAGCAAGTCAATGAAATATGAATGACATTTATCCGACGCATATTATAGACTGATTGTGAATTTATAGCATTGTTGGCAACAAATAGTTCGATATAAAAATTATTAAACATTCAAGTACAAATAACGAAGACATTTATTAAACTGAGTGCATAAAAAACTGTTTCCTAATAAGAACTACCGTTGTTTTCATTAAGAATTTAGAAAGCTATATATTTTAAGACATTTATAATGCAAGTGACTTTTAAACTAAATGTTCCTCTTGCTACTGAACTACAATTCTAGTTTTATTAACATTGTCACGTTTTGAGTGCTGACTTTGATATAGAGTTTCAAGAAAATGCTTGGAACAGTTCTAACGAACAGTCACGTTGAAGTTTCTCGAGATATGATTATTTGTAAAAAAAATATAAAATTTCTAACACTAATATTAGATCAATACAAGGGGAAGGGGTACTTGATATTCAATATACAAAAGTACGGAGAGATTGTAACTAGTCGGCCTTGCAATTGACCTAAAGTTTACGTGCCTTACTTATTCGAAATAATAATTGAGCAATCATTGAATTATAATGAATAATGTAATAATTACAGCAGAAACAGTACATGAATCGTTGGCAATATGAAATTACTGTATTTCACTTCTGTAATACGAGACATTTATGATTTAATTTTTTTAATAACAATGCTGTAGGTATACAATGTAAAAAATTCTTTGAATGTTCTTTTCACCATACACGTTGATTTTTTTTATTTATTACCTCTTGTAAGATACATAAGATAAAAGAAATTTATTTATTTATTTCCACTATAGACGTTTTAAATTAATATATGTGTTTTATAATAGCAAACCTTTAAAACGAACACCACCCTTGTCCTTCATTGAAAGTGTTACTTTATACACATAAATACTGCATTTTATCTCACAAAATGATTCATATTAACAAACGAAAGATTTCGATAGGCGTAAATGCAATGAAATATCGAGGCAAAATTGATTGTTCAAATGTCATTGACATATTGACATCATGTATTTTTAATGAAACATTTTAACAAAAGGTTTGTGTCTTAAGTCCAACGGATTGTTTTGAATAAGTCATTTGATGAAAACTTTTTAATTTATATTATCAACAACGTACCTTCAATTTTTCCATGGCCCGCGTCAGACATTTTTACGGCTATACTTAGGTCCTGAAACAAATATAAAATTCCAAAATTATTATTGATAAAACTTTCTTTTTATATAAAAGACATTAAAATACATTTATTTGCTGATATAATTGAATACTTCATTTTTGCATCAATAAACCATTGTTGTAAATCAAGCCAAGTACATATTTTTAAAACGTAATAAAAAATAAATAAAAAAATGCTCGTTAAATGTAAAACCAGGCGTTAACCGTCCGACATAAAATTTCCGAAAGCTCGTAGCCTCAAGCAAACCGGACTTCGATAAATGTTTCGAGGACGACACGTTTTTATGCATCAAATTAATGAACCAAACAGAGAATTATATTTTATACAAACTATGAATGAACCTCAAACATAACGACATTTGCTTGTTTGTGTTATTTATTTTCGTTTGTCGCGTGACTTAAAAGTTATCGTATTATCGTAAAAATGAAGAAAAAAATATGACAATGACCTAAAATCCCTTGTTTGTAACACACTGATGCTGGGTTTCTGAAGTTTCCATTTACTTTGTTTTTAACTAGCGTGTTAGGTTGATCTAAGTTGGAACGTAGTAAAACTCGAGTTCCAAAGTTCGTTAACGCATTTCATAAAGTTATCGAACCAAAAATACTTACGAAAGGTTAAATGTAGCTGGGAAACCGGCCGTTACACACGAGAATATATAATTAATAATTGCTATGTTAAAAGAATCTATTAGATATGGCCTGTTCGATGAGATAAGCCAAAGTCTTATGATCGCAGAAGAGGTTCTTGACGAGTTTCCAAAATTTTTAATAAACAACATATGTACAAAATCTTTAAAATAATGAGAGACAACAATATTGTTCTTATGTTTCTAACTAAAATTTTCAGTCTCTGAAAATTTGCTCATCATCAACTTGCCCTTATCCCTTACGGAGGGTCGGCACAGTATGTGCTGCTCTTCCATTCATCTCTATCGGCCGTCATATCTGAATCCACTGCTTTCTTAGCATTGAATACCCTTCTCTGACTCCTTGCAATATTACAAATTAAAATATGTGTACTCTGATAGTAAATAGCTTAAAAATTTTATGATATTATTACAAAAACAATATATTTATATACAGATGATTATTTCAAATTTGTATTATCTTTCATTAACAATTTTACTACCCGATCCTTTTATTCGAGACTGGTAAATATTTCAAAAATGTCTTATATACTAGTTCTGAGTTTATTTATATAATAATCCTTGACATTTAAAAAAATATTTATTGTAAGAATGTATTTTTGCCTTACGTGGTTCAGCCGTAATAAACTAGTTGTTTTTCGCGACTCCGTCCGTGTGAAATTAAATATATAGCCTATATTACTTTGCTATTAGCTGAATGGTGAAAGAATTTTGGAAATCGGCCGAGTAGTTTTACGTATTTCGAAACACATTCAATTGAAACCTGAAGAACTTGAAGAAGGACCCCCAACGGGTTCGAAACTGTCGGTGCCTACACCGAATGTTATCACGTGAGTTTAGCCGTGTTATAATTTATATAGTATAATGTCTCACGAAAGTTTTAATAAGTTAATTACATTCAATTGAATTCTAAGAACATTTTTTTTTAATTTGTACACTCTTATTATTGGAATATATTCAGTCAGATTTGACTATTTAAAACATCTAGAATAATATTCTTTAATTATTAAAATGTACTAAAACTACGTCTCTGTTAAAGAAAATGTTTGCGAAATTTATTATCTTTAGTGCCTCATTTTGATATTCAGTTAATATCGGCATCGTCCCACCCCTTCTTATAAGTTACCCTGAACAAGCTTTTCCACTCTAATTACCTAAGGCAATTTATATAGAACAAGCTAGCGGTCTCCACTTCGATTGTAAATATTATTATTATAATTAGACGTGAAGCGAAAATGTATCACGTAAGGAAATTGTGCGAACTCATGAACTTAAAAATTAGAATGAAGAAGTGGGTTAAACAATTGTTTCCTGTCCACCAAATTATAAATTGTCTGATAACAATCCAACGTGTCAAATAAGTGATGGAAATATCGGATTTTGTTCCCTTATCTGACAGTGACGTCATTTTAAAGCTATCTGAGCGTTTATCAGCCAGTGGTGGTCCAGGTCCTTCATACTAAATAAACAGTTTTTGCAGTACATTTGAATAATTCAAACTGAACGTGTCTGTTCATTTTAATAAAAAATAGTATAGAACATTTTCGTATTGCAGGTATAGTTTTCTTACTTTGTTTTTTTGTGTTATCTATTTTTTATGTTGGTAACGCAGACAAATGATAACAGTAATATATTTAATAATCTTGATAAATATGTAAATCACATGAGATAAACTTTAGTTGTTGACTGATAACGAAAGTCTTTCGGAAACATAAATAGGCGATGACATGTTTAAATAATAGATAATGTTATTATTTTCTAGTATCGTTGCTATGGAAACTATATGAAATATAACTACTCGATTTTTTAAAACAAATCTTACTAATATCATGAATACGAAAGTTTAGATGGATGGATAGATGTTTATTAGAGTTTGTAGCCTAAACGTCTGCACGGATTTCATTTAAATTTGGTACTTATGTAGAGGATAGTCTGGAAGAATACATAGGCTACTCACTTTTGTTTTTTTAATGCCACGCAAACGAAGTCGCGCGCGAAAGCTAGTTAAAAAATAAAATACTTCAAATTTAGAATTCACGCATTAAATGTATCTATGGTCAAAATTCATGAGCTGTTTTAATAAATTAGAAAAAAAACTTCCTCGTACTCTCTATGCTTTATAAAGCGGCATTACAAACAGGAAGAGGCCTCGGAGCGGTCGCGTGTTGAGAATCAACTCACTATACTACTTTGGGCAAAGTGCCAATCGATCTCAACCATACATCGACCGCGTTTCGTGTCAAGAGCAATTTCACGATTCACAATTTTCCGCAGAACTATATTGCAGTAAATGCAGACGGTCGAAAAATTCCTTGAAAAATCTTTACGGATTGTACACTTGCCTATAATATTGTAATAAACTATGTGTATTTGAGACAACAAATTTATTACGCTTCTATAAGTCAAGGTCACCTTCAGTAATCGTACACTGCCGCGGAAAAGTCGCTATACATGGTAGCAAATCTAAATTCTTCGTTCACTGAGTATGCGTTACGATCTACAGTGTAATAGAGGTATTATAAATTGAATTTCAAATTGTATTCATTTAGATTCTATATCGCAAACCTTGCGTTTATTCTAAAAATAATCTTCTATACAAAATAAAATTGGAGTGTCTGTTTGTAACATCAAAGAATTTTTTTTTGTCTGTCTGTCTGAATATTTTAAATGCGTTTAACGAAGTTGAATACCAAAATGTATCCCGGCGCAGTCGCCGTTGCAATAAATCGAACTTATGTCAACTTTCGAATATAGTATTCAAGTCAAATATAGATTGTCTGAACTGAAATAGATTGGTTAACTAAGTTAAGATTTCACTTGAAAACGTTTCACCAAGACTTGGAAAGTAACTACCACTTATAGTTAATTTAACTAGTTCTTTAAAAAAAAAATTGTGTATAAAAAGCGTTAACAATTGTTTTAATTAGATGGTTATGTCTTCAAGTGATTAAAATTTCACAAGTTCTGATTACATTCTATTTGGGTCACGAGGTTAATACGAGGAATATAATTACTTTAAAACACGATGAAAACAAAGCTATTATTAAGACTGTAATTACAATAAGGAACTATTTCTATAATAAAGTGGTATTGCTGTAAAATTTTCGAACAAAATATTCGGGAGAAAAACTTTTCTTCACATAATTATTAGAAAGAAGGAAGAAATTGGTTAATTAAAAAAAACTGTCAAGGAATTCATTCGGCGTGTGCTGCGGTGTACACTGAAACGCCGGTTTTCAGTGAATCCTAAAACAGAACACGGAATTTACAGAAGAGAAGAAGAAAAAAATATGTACTTGATATCATCATCATCATCAACATCACCAGCTCACTTTACGTCCCCACCGAGGGGCTCGGAGCCTACGCTAATAAGGGGTGACATGATATATACTTGGTCACAATTAGAAACCTCTATCTAAATCTAAATGTATTATACAAGCGTTCGCCCGTCGACTTCCGCGCGGTATTTTGAACAAAAATAAGTAGCCTATGTGTTGTTCCAGACAATCATCTACATCCATACCAAATTTCAAAGAGATCCGTTCAGCCGTTTAGGCTACAAACTCTAAAACATCTATCCATCTAAACTTTCGCATTTATAATATTAGTAAGATAACCTATATGACGTAATATTATTTTAATTTATTTAACGAATTTCCCAGAAAATAAATAGCGTAATTGCCGGGTAAGTATTTAGAGAAAGTATGGTTAAAAGTTTTAGTTTTAGGACAGTTTTAGTACATTTGGAAAGTTATATAACTGTGTATTATTTGTCGCCAGATAAACGGATAATTCTATGTAAATAACAAACAATTGCGACAAAGTCAATGAAAAGGCGTTTATTATGAAAACATAGCTGAGAAGTATAATGGACGGGGAACGTTATATTTGTTTTCATAACAACTTCAATTCAGTCATAAGTAGATTTTCGGACAAACGTTAGTTTCTCAAAATGTTATGTGGGAATTTGCGATTAGCCACATAGACGACTGAGTGCAAACGAATTTGTATGATAAATAACGAATATGTTTATAAACATTTATGAAATCTACACTAAAATTATAAAGAGGAAAGATTTCTATTTTTGTATGTATTGAATTGCCTTTAAAACTATTGAGACGACTTCAAAAATTCTTTCACCATTAAAAGCTACGTTATCAGTGAGTAACACAGGCTATGTTTTTTATTATTTTTTTAATATAACGCTGAGGAAGTCGCAAACAACAACTAGTAAATAATAAAGTACTTATACGGAAAGCAATAATTGAGGTAAAACATAACTGCGTTAACACCCATAACTTCAATAAGCGACGATCAGAGTTAAACAAGTGTTAACTAAACAATG